AGCGGTTCCACCACAGGCTACCAGCGTGCCAATTGTGAGTTGCGATCAGGATCGATCGATTATTCATTGTCGCGTCAACATTTTTTTTTTTTTAACGTTTCCCTTTTTCACGTTACAAGTCAAACGGCTCGCTAAACGGTGTTCCTTCGCGTCAAACAAACACCACAACCACCTACAACTCGCCGCACCAACAATCCTCCTCCTCCTCATCCTCCACTCCCATTCAACAAAGGAATTCACCGGTGGTGAACCGACAGGTATCAATCGTGATTGTATTCTTATCGCAGCAACTGTCCATCCATCCATCCATTCATTCATTCATTCATTCATTCATTAATTCCTCGGTCCGCTTACTTAGAACCAACAGCCGACAACGCAACCTCAGCAGAGACCCACCCCAACCATGGGTGCGCCCTCTTCCGCGTCAATTTCTAGAAGAGACCGTCGGCTGAAGAGGCCCATGAATGCATTCTTGATATTCAACAAAGAGATGCGACCAAAGGTCTTGGAAATGAATCCTAATATGACGGTCGCCGAGATTTCCAAGACCATCGGGGAGAATTGGCGAGGCATGTCAGAGGTGAGTGGTCGGCTGACCGGCTTGTTCGATCGTTCGTTTGTTATCTCTTAGCACCAAGATAACCAATCACACATCTATTCGGTCACCTGTGTGCTTACAGGAAGAAAGAGAGCGATACCTTCAAAGGGCTCGCGATCTGAAGAATGAATTTCACGAGACCCACCCGGACTTCGTCTACACTCGTAGGTCAAAGGCCGAGCTCGCCGCAGCGGGTCACCATAGTTATTCGAAGAAACGGAGTTCTTCTCAACGCGATGAATCCGACTCCGAGGATGAACAACGTGTTCAGCACCAGAACAATCACCACGAAGGATCCTCATCCACCTCTCCGGTGAAGGATCCCCGAGGTCGTAAGAAGAAACGAAGTCGTCATCCTACGGCACCCAAGCATCCTATGTCCGGTTTCCTGTTCTACGCTTTGGAAATGAGGCCACACATAGCAGAACAAAATCCGGGGAGCACGGTTGGCCCAATCAGCAAAATTATTGCAGGCCATTGGAAGAATCTGACTCCTGAACAAAGAAAACCATGGGAAAAGAAAGCCTCGGATGATAAGGCTCGATATGCCAGGGAAATGGAGACTTACTTGCAATCTCAAAAAGATGATTAATCGAACTCGGCATGCCTGTCATTCTTATAAAGAATTATTCTTGGTTTTTTTGTTCTCCCCTTTTTTTTTGAGATTAGAAAATTTCGTTTTTTTTTTTTTTTTGTAAATTTTTTTTTGCCTAGTAACAATTGTAAATTTCCTTTTCATTCTATGACAGCTGAAAATAAGTTGAAACTTAATGATAAAAACTGTCATCATTTACTTCTTTTGGATGATTGTTTTGCATAATCTCTGATTCAAAAAATGCAGTTCTACTTCACTTTTTTATTTTAAAATAGATTTTTTTTTCTCTCTTTCCAGCGAAAAAGTTATTTGCATTTTGCGTTTTTTTCTCACTTTGCAATTCAACCGGGTTAATTTTTTTTTTTTTAATTTTGCGTTCGACTACACTTTTTTTTTTTATTATTATTCGATCATTGAAAAAATTTTTATTAAATTTACTTAAGTAACTTCTCGCATTCACATCACCCTTTTAAATTTTGATTCGACTTTTCCAGCTGTGAATAAAAACGAACATTCTTAAAAGAGAATTTATTGGGTGTTTTATTTCCGACAAAAACAAGAAAACCGTTTTGAAAAAAAAAAAGATGTACATATCAATAAACGCGAAGAGATTTGTAAATAATTAACTAGATTTCATTTTTTTTCAATGATTCCAAATGGCAGTGACATTTCTAACATGGAATGTTATCTTTCAGAAGACAAGGCAACGATCGGCTAAAATAGACGATGAAAACATTGATTTCCGTAATGACGATATTTTGATGGTATCCAAGTGTTGATTCGAGATGAGATTCGTTTTTTTTTTTTTCTCGATCAGGTTGGAGTAATTATTTATGTGTGTGGTTGAAAAAATAATGATTACATCGAACGCGCCGCCGCCGCATATACAGTACCAGCGATCCCTCTGATACAGTAAATTCTTATTATGGTAAACCCTCGATGCAATGAGGTTAAAACCAGTTCGGCTTTGTACCCAGTCCAGTTCTCTTTGATGTACACTTGTACATTACGTGAGGACGTAATAAATTTATGTGTATTATTTGCCAATTTTAAAAAGTTGACCAAAATATAAAATTTTAAGTTTGTTCTCCGGTTAGTACTTGATGGATTTATAGAATGATGAATGTAGTGCATACACCATGCCTATTTACCTGTTTCATCTTCAACCAAATATTTTTATATCATTGATTCAGTATTTTACAGATTATTTTTTTTTATTTTATTTGCAAAATTGTTATGGTATCATATATAATATTTTCCCATATTTATTAATTAAGTTTTATTTTTAGTAATAAATCAAAAATTCAAAAATGGCAATGATTTTTTTCTTTGATTTCTTTAATAAAATTTACTTGAAAAAAAATATTAAATTAGTTTGAATGAAATAAAACAAGATCTTAATTACTGTAGATAATTTAAATCAAATGTAAAAAATAATATTTCATTTTTTTAATAGATCAATACTATGATCAAATTTTTATTTGATTAATATATTTAAGTGAAACTATTTTAATAAAAAAAAATATTTAAGAATGAATTTACACTAGTTTAAATTATATTATTCAACAGTTAAATTATTATCAAATTTAATTAAATTTGGTAATAAAATATGGACAATTTTTTTCAATTGTTACCACTTTGTATATTACTATTTTGATAATAAAGTAGTAATCAAAAATTTGATAATTAAAATTTATAAATTAAAAATTAAATTATTAATAAAATAATAAAAAATATTTGTTATTTAGCAATTCATAAATAATTTGCAAAAAAAATTCTTTAACAATTCAATAAAAGTTCATCACAAAATTATTTATTAGCAATTAAATAAAAATTCAATATTAATTTATTGATAATTCATTATTTATTTATTAAAACTATTCATTAAAAATTCAATACCTATTTATCAAAACTATTTATTGAAAATAGAATAAAAATATTTACCGTATTAAAAATCATATTATTTATTCATTAAATTTATTTATTAAAAATTTAACAACTATTCATTTATGATTTAACAAAAATTTATAAAACTTGTAAAAAAATTATTTATATTTATAAATTATTTAGTATTATTTATATAATAATACATAATTAATTAAATTATAATAATATACAGTTGCTTCCAAAAGTTTGAGTCCACTTACTATGTTTTTATTATAAATTTCAACTTTGACAATTTTT